CCAGTTCTACTGCGGTGAACAAGCAGGCCGCCTATTCGAATATCTAAGCTCCAATTCGAACTACCCTCCCTTGGACCCCGCATTTTGGGACCCCGGCATCACAGCTGCCGAGTCTCGTCAGCTGACCCGTCTTGGGGTTCACCTCCCGAGGCCCCTTTCACCGCGCCGTTTGGCCACACATCCCTGCCATTTTGGTCGGGTTCGATGCAATTGTCCGAAATCTTTGCGTGCCCAAAAATGATTCCATGATTGTCCTTTGGCAGTCCTGTGGCGAGCGGAACCGTTTGCTACGGCCCACTGACCATTTTGGCGTGCGGAGAATGCTATTGTCGTGCCTTCAACAAGGCAGCCCTTGCACACAACTATCAGTCTATCACACTCAACACTTTGCTTGAGGGCTACATGCGGCAGTCACGCAAGCCCCAGAAAGATCCACATGCCTTCCCAAGAACATTTTGTTCGTGGTTCCATGCAAGCGAAAATGGTGAAGAACCGGAACGGAGGCTCCGGCGCTCCATGTGTCGATCACCCCGTTCTCCGCCACCGACTCGGTGCCTGAGTCACTTGAAAAGGGCAGCGCTTCGGGAAGCTCGGAAACTTGCCAGACTTACAGAATCCACCGCCTTGGAGACATGGCAAGATTCGGCCCACCTTCCATCTACCAAAGCTCTTCTCACCAAAATTGCTGTGCCCAAACCGGAAGGTACTCAGGTACTCAAGACATCCCTCTCAGAGCTTTGAAGTGCCCAGGCCAAGAGGTCCGAGTTCACGCGACTGCTTGGTGCCGAAAGGCCGGAGCTGAAACAAAAGTTGAGCCGTGCAAGGGGCTATGCTGAAACCGGCCATTCGAAAATCAAAAGATGTGTCCAGTTGCCGTAGTTTCGTGCACGGAAACCTGGGCTGCCGGCAAGTGTAGACAATGTTCTTCCTGCAAGCGCAACGACTGCTTGGCCAAGCGTACCCCCTGACTGAACTCAACCTGCAGCTGCTGCACAAAGCCAGAATCCAGGATCATCACGCTGCAAAGGCTCACCCATGCTCACCCGTTTCCACGAATTGCTCAGGGGCGCTGGGGTCTAAACAGGCCACTACTTATTATACCTGCCCCGCAAGTTGAAGAGCACAGATCGGCTCATCTCTCCGCAAGTGGACACCATTGTTCCCTGGTGTGACTTCCAGGAGTCAAAACGACAAAGCCGCATATGTGGCAGGTTGGGCAATTCCCAGAAACAGTTGGTTTGTTTGAACGGCCCATCCGGCTGATGAAAGCGGTCCCTTGTATTCCCGCCTGGGATGCCAGCGGGAAAAGGCAGGGTTCATGCAGTCGTCCTGACCAAGAGGCGAGATGTTCTTTCAGTCGCTGTCAAAGTGTCTCGACATGGGCAAGGCCCATGGATTCCACAAATTTCGCCAGATCAATTGCAGAGTGAGCTAAGGTGTCCTTCGTTTGAGGTATATGTTGAGAGCCGCAGGAGCCCAGCCATGATCACCCACTCTGTGATACCTGAAATTTACCGTCGGGAGAATTGCAATTCTTTTCCTCCAATACACAGCTTCCCCAATGCCAAACAAGATGGCTCGCTACTTGGATCAAGCAAGTGGTTCCGGATGGCATCTTAACTTACAACGCAGCATGTATTGAATTTAAATCGGGATTCGTGTTTGGTGCTTTTTCTTTTCGGGATCACACACGCTTTAGGTCAAACACGCCCGATTTCAATGATGGGCAGGACAAATGGCAGGCATAGTGACAGCGATGCACAGAGGGCAGACACAGCAGCCCGCTTGTCAAGCAGCCAGCTCTCATAGCCCCGGCGGTGGATTTGTTGGCTAAATAGGGGACCTTTTTTCAGAGGAAGGCATGAAACGTGACATACCGGTTCATGGGGTCCCACAGAGCACCGATCCAATTCAAAATCAGGCCAACAACAGTTTGCGCTTTAGTATCATCGTTGTACTCACAGACGATTCGCCTTGTTCCAACGGAAAGCAGATACGGGTGTGTGTGTGTGTATGTCAAAATAGGGGACCTCAAGAATCTTGCTTTTTTTACCGCTGAAACTCCATCCTCAAGGAGGTTGTCGGTCCCCTGCTCCCCCCCCCCCCGGCCACTGACGTCCTGCACCACTGACAGCAAACACATCTGGCCGTCGCTGATGTCCATCCAGAAGGTGTAGAGACTGAGCAAGCGGAGCTTCAGGTGGCCGGTGCTATCATTTTGGCATGTTCCATCGGTGTGGCACGGCCATTCGTTGTGGTGTGGATTGGGGTTGGCTGCTTACTTGTTGATTTCACCTGTTGCTGATTGTTCACATTGGATCACGCTTGGCCAGCGTCTCATCATTCAGCAATGCTCCTAGGTCGTCAAAGCACTCCACTCAACCCACTAGCAGCCAACAACGACGCACGGCAACTTTGACGCAGCAATTGTCACGTGTGCGCTCAACGCTCTGGAGGTGTCAAAACGTCCTGATCTCAGACTACTCCGAAAAATGAACTGCCCACGAATACAGCCACAACGCAAGCAACGTTGCTTGACGCAGCAAAGCTGTTGGAAAGCAACAGCAACAATCAACTCCGCAAATTTGGCCTCATGACAGCTACACAACACACGGAAGCTATTTGAGAGCTTGCGAATTGATCCATTTCGGCGTCTCTGCCGCTCACCGGCGCCGCCCTCCCTGCCTCTTCTTAGCCTCCTTGCCCCGCGGGCCGTGGGCGAGATTGTCGAAACCTGGGGGCTGCAGGCTCCAGTGGCAAGAGCAAGCGTGAAACAGCAATCAACTATGGTAGAATCATTGAAACATGGGCCTCCTGCTTGAAAGAATTCCTCGTGGACATGCTTCCTTTTGCCAAAGAACAAATTCCGCTTGCGAATCTGCACCCCTCCGTGGCTAAGCCTTGCACGTGTGTAGCAACTCACAACGATGAACTGAGAGCGGCGGTTCTGCGCATAGGCCTGAGAGCTTGGAACGAATCACTGGCGAAGCCAGCTGAGCCTGATGAACTTGCGACCCTGAAACAGCATCTAAACAGCTTGCTCCAACAAAGCCGAACTGCACTGGAGTGCTGCACGGCGCCGATCACGAGATTGAACGTCGGCAGACTCCCCAAGGCCCTGAGGCCCGGACAGTCATAGGAGTCATGTCAGCCATGGCTACGAAAACCGTCTTGTCAAAATCGTGGTTGGGTATGTGGGTGTTGCTTTGGTTTGCCGTTTGCCGAGTTTGCCGCATATTGTGCCTCCCATGCTTGGCCCAAGCCTAGAGGCGATTGAGGGCGAATCAGTAATCGTGGGCACTCGTCACAGCGCGGCTTTGCCCAACTGCCATCCAGGAACACCCAGCGCCCTTGTTGCCTCCAAAGTTCAAATCGTAGTTTGTAAGAATGCCGTGGTTGCAATGCTTTCCGCGAGCGTTTATTTTGCTTCACCGCACTTTTCTCGCTGGCACTGCAGAATCTCAGCTGCAAGTACCTCGCAGCATGCGCAAACTGCACGGTCTTGTGAGGCAAAAAACCATCAGACATATCAGAATCATTTGAGTTTCATCCTCTTCCCTCTGTCCGAGGCGACATCGCTGACCTTACATGTCTTACTTTCTTCTGAGTCGGCTGAATGCTGGCTGGATGGATCCTGGTTCGCGGAAGCTTGGTCCGCTAAGCAGCTCTGGAATCTGCAGAACTATCACGTAATTGATCTTGTCTAAGTTAGCATTCCTATAAAATATGAAAGAATGAATGTAAATTAGTGAAAATTAATAGAGAGATACTTGTAAAACTCGATTAGTTTCAGAATCATTAATGTCATCAGTATATGTTCTATCATGTTTATCAAGCTACCTGCCACCTTGCTGGCTGATTGGCTTGCTTTGTCTTGCTGAGATTGGGCAGTTGCCTCGTTGCCTCCAGGAAGGGGTGGTGAATACTGATTTGGGGAAAAGTACGATTCCTGGCCAACATGGCGAAGGATTTGCACTGTCCCTGTTGGTTTCAGTCACCAACACACAGCACACTGCAATACAAAAGGAAAGCGGCCAATCAGCCGCCGAAGATCTGGCATTGCTGATCCGATACTTCCTGATACAGAGTCAACACCTGGCTCTCCTCAACTCGGAAGTCGTGATGGAAAGCGACCACGTGCAACCATTTCCGACTCCGTGTTTTTGCTGTCTGTCTTTGGGGGTTGGCCATCAAGGCCGGGTTCAACAAAATGATGAAGCAATCCGGGCACCAAGTATTGCCCGAAAACATCTGAAGTTGGGCGCTTCTAGTATCACACTGGCCGTCACCCGATTGCCGGCTGTGTGCAATGTCCCTGCGATCGCGATCAGTGAAACTACAATTGCGCATGTAACAAGTAACTGCGAACTTGCTGCAATGCCCCCAATATCCAGTTCTGGTCTCCCAGAGAAAACAAGACCAAAGTGTGCTGTGCGTGCAATCTTGTAGACTTCTCTCTCTATCTCTATCCCTTGTTGCTTTATTGTGGGCAGCCGGTTCACCCTTTCAAGCCCCGCGCCACGTCAATCGGGGCTGGAGCTCGATGTATCAGCCAAGCACTCTGCGGCGTCCTTCAATGCAATGGCCAAACGCTGCAAACTTGAGTCCTCAACAAGACCTCTTAAGCGATAATGTCTGAGCAGTTCTCTGCACCTTCGTTTTGAACTTCCAAGCCGTTCAATTTGTCGGAGTAGACAAGAGTCCTGAGCTTCAAGCTAGCACTATCAATGACTATCAATATCCAAAGTGAATGATCCGTGATGACAACGTGCCAACACATCCCAAATTCTGCTGCGGCGCGCAGGCATTTGGCCCCACTCCACACAATCGAAGCCCGCGGGGGGGTTAGTACTAGTTGATCCCACATGTGCACTTTCCTGGGCCACGTGAAAACCGACTGAACCAGTTCTGAGACAGGGGAAGCTCAGCTGTCCATCTACTCAAGCATGCCGAGAGCCAGCTTTGCAGCCTATCGACGCGTTGTCACTGCCAATGCGCGCTCACTTTGGCGCGTCGCCTATCTCAATGATCGCCTCTTTCTTTTCCGGAGAATCCAAGTCGGCGAACTCCGACTCGAAGTCCAGGTCCCCCAAGGTGCCGACGGATCTGAGTTGGTTCAGGTTGGCGCTCACCGAGTAGCGGTTCAGCATCACATTGGTGCTCTCCGCTTCCTGTGCCGCCTCCATGTCCAGATCAAGGCTGGGAGTGCCTGCAAAAGCTCGCGACTTGGTTTTTGTTGCTATGGCTTTCCCCCTATTAAGACTCATGCCCGTATTCTGCAGGTGTCCCCGACTGGGAAACCGAATTAAGGGGATTTAAATTTTAGGATGGAATTGAGGTGTACATGTGTTTATGAGTGCCCCATGGCAGCCCCTTCGACAGTAGATGACAGTAAATATGTTCTGCCTGCATTGGAGTAAAATGGGATTATGATCTCCGTACTGTAAAGCATACCAAATCGTTTTTCGCCAGAGGCGCCTGAGATTGAGTTGAACCTCTGAAAGTCCAAGACTGCTGCCACCGCAATGTCGGCGTCCGAGGAAGCATGCCTCTCCCGCAGGCTTTTGCTGGAGACACCTGTGTCCAATTCCAGCTGGCTCAGCGGGTCCCTGAGCGCAATGCCAAACCCGAATACCTTTAGAAGTAAACCAGTTGCACTCTTCAATCCAACTCCCTGCCCATGTACCCGGGCGGCCTACACTTAAAAGGCCCCTGAACCAGAGGAGGTCGCTTCGGTTTCGCTTCGATTTCTGCGAGCCGCTGCTGGCCGCTGCTCGCTCGCAGGAAGCTCGCGCGCTTGGAGTAGCTCTTCCGGCGCCGCGGGCCGAAGTCCCCCAGCGCTCGCGAGGTGCGGAGGTTCGTAGTGGCGTCTAAGGTCACCCCTCGGAGAGCCAAATGGGCCAAGCCCAAATGAGCAAAGACATACAAAGACCCATACTGGAAGTCTCTCACGCTCCCCCCCCACTCTCCCTACTCTCCCCCCCCCTCCACTCTCCCCCCCCCTCTTCTCTGTGCCTCTCCATCCGCCGCCCTTGCTCAGGGTGTACATGGCTGAGAGCTGATCCGACTGCAGCAGCTGCTGGTGTAGCGCTGCTGACTGCAGCGCAGCTAAAACCTTCGGCTGCTCCTGGAAGCCGGCAACTTAGGGCATGAGAGTTGGAGCCGTGTCTCAGTGAATAATATGCGCGGCCGAAGAATTGGTACGTAGAAACCAGTTCTCCAGAGAGCCCTCTCGGGGCACGAAAGCCAGGACTGGCAGCGGGGATGGGAGCCGATTCCTTCTCTGCCTGACGAGTTATTCCCAAGCGTCTACAACTTGCCCTCAACCCAACCCCTGCTTCTTTGTTGAGACTTTGTTCCAGACAAATACAGTTTCGCAAGCCTTTTGAACCCGGCCTGCATCTAAACGAGGGGAATCGGAAGTCAAGTATTTGTGCTGGCAAGTCCTGGAATGTCACGTGTCTGTTCCGCAGTGGGGATGAATGAACTACATCACAGAATCTTGGCCATTTGACACGGCATCTTACTGTATACTCTTCCGCGACCAAGCTGTACACCCCCGTTAAAATAACACCGACGAAGATCTTGGTCGGGCACGCGAACCATCTCCCTGTAACCACCTCGTATTAAATGGTCTACCCAAAACCAGGTACAGAATCTAAATGGCGGCACATATTTCTGGTCAGGGCTGTATCTTGCACCCGGGGTTTGATTGTGACTCACCTTTGGCTTCGTGCGCAACTGCCACACTGTTTCCTCCGAGTCCCGAAACTGAGTCACTGAGTTTCCGGCCTTGAGAAGCTTCACGTCGTGGATCAGCAACCCCACGGAGCGCCCCGCGGCCACCCAGTTGCCTCGACAATGGGACCCGATCAGCGCCTCCGCCGGGCACACCGCGCCGCTGCAGGTGCGCAGCAGCATGGCTGGCCGGTTCTGCGTGCCTCAGGTTCCAAGTTGACTCCCTGGACTGAGGAAAGCTGCCAAATTGTGAACAAAAACAGCACGGTCATTTGGGACCCAAGCGAGGCCGTGAGGCATGACGGGTGTGGGCTGAATCCGCAAAGTGTGTGGAAGGCCAGGCGATGTTTTGACGCACTAACCAATGTCTCGAATCGCAGTGCGGCCTATCTGGGCACAAAACACCTCGCCATACTGCAATGGCAGAAAGGGTTGCTGCCGCAGAACTGTGATGGCGCAAGCGTTCATGACAGGTCCCCCCAACCCCTTGCCTGTCTGCACCTCCATTTGGACGTCTGAGAAACCAGGGATCGCAATGAACAGCTTCTCCATGACCAGGTCTTGGGTGCTGATCTCCTAACAGCCCGATTTCATCTTATGTCCTTTGCCCATTGGGCGAATGACCACCACCCGCCTTGATGGATGGGTCTATTGACAGTGCTGACTACGGCTGCGGTAGGAGGAACCGCATGCGTTCACCAGTGAAGCCTTCGAAGACTCACATGAGCTGTTCAAACCACGCCCGTCCTGATTCATCCCAACCTCGTGAAAGAATCCGTGGCCCCGCAGCTCTTGAGCAGTCGCCTCTCCGAGCCACTTGGCCAAAGCTCGCATCATCACCTTCTCATCGCTTTGCCTGAGACACGTCACGGGCTGCAACTAAGACTTGTATCGGAATCAATGCCGGAACACGCCAACAACCTGCTCAGCGCGCCTGCCCTTCTGCACACGCACAAATGGACCGGAGACGGAATTGACTACCACTACCACCACTTCGACGCATTCACAACCACCAGCACCAGCAGCAACACCAACACCAGCACCACCACCAGCAGCAGCAGCAGCAGCAGCAGCAGCAGCAGCAGCAGCATCAAATCAACAGATGGCATTCGCGATATGAGAAGGCAATCGCACATTGCACGCGGCAAAAGGAACAACAACGAAGATCACGCGACAAAGGAGGCAAAGGAGCAAAATGAGACGAAGGAGGCAAAGCAGGCAAAGGGCAAATGAGACAAAGGAGGCAAAGGGGACAAATGAGACAAACGAGGCAAAGGAGACAAAGCAGACAAATGACACAATGGAGGCAAAGGAGGCAAAGCACAAATTGAGACGAAGGAGGCAAAGCAGGCAAATGACACAAATGAGGCAAAGGAGGTAAAGGGGACAAATGAGACAAACGAGGCAAAGGAGACAAAGAAGATAAATGACACAAAGGAGGCAAAGGAGGCAAAGGAGCAAAATGAGACGAAGGAGGCAAAGCAGGCAAATGACAAATGAGACAAAGGAGGCAAAGGGGACAAAAGAGACAAACGAGGCAAAGGAGACAAAGAAGACAAATGACACAAAGGAGGCAAAGGAGGCAAAGGAGCAAAATGAGACGAAGGAGGCAAAGCAGGCAAAGGACAAATGAGACAAAGGAGGCAAAGGGGACAAATGAGACAAACGAGGCAAAGGAGACAAAGAAGACAAATGACACAAAGGAGGGAAAGGAGCAAAATGAGACGAAGGAGGCAAAGCAGGCAAAGGACAAATGAGACAAAGAAGGCAAGGGGGACAAATGAGACAAACGAGGCAAAGGAGACAAAGAAGACAAATGACACAAAGGAGGCAAAGGAGGCAAAGGAGGCAGGAGACAGAGACAAGTAAGAGAAAGGAGGCAAAGGACACGAAGGAGGCCAAGGAGACAAATGAGACGAAGGAGGCAAAGCAGGCAAAGGAGACAAATGAGACAAAGGAGGCAAAGGGGACAAATGAGACAAACGAGGCAAAGGAGGCAAAGCAGGCAAATGACACAAAGGAGGCAAAGGAGGCAAAGGGGACAAATGAGACAAAGGAGGCAAAGGAGACAAATGACACAAATGACACAAAGGAGGCAAAGGAGGCAAAGGAGCAAAATGAGACGAAGGAGGCAAAGCAGGCAAATGACACAAAGGAGGCAAAGGAGGCAAAGGGGACAAATGAGACAAACGAGGCAAAGGAGACAAAGACAAAGCAGACAAATGACACAAAGGAGGCAAAGGAGGCAAAGGAGCAAAATGAAACGAAGGAGGCAAAGCAGGCAAAGGACAAATGAGACAAACGAGGCAAAGGAGACAAAAGACAAATGACACAAAGGAGGCAAAGCAAGCAAAGGACAAATGAGACAAAGGAGGCAAAGGAGACAAAGAAGACAAATGACACAAAGGAGGCAAAGGAGGCAAAGGAGCAAAATGAGACGAAGGAGGCAAAGCAGGCAAAGGACAAATGAGACAAAGGAGGCAAAGGGGACAAATGAGACAAACGAGGCAAAGAAGACAAATGACACAAAGGAGGCAAAGGAGGCAAAGGAGCAAAATGAGACAAACGAGGCAAAGGAGACAAAGAAGATAAATGACACAAAGGAGGCAAAGGGGACAAATGAGACAAACGAGGCAAAGGACACAAAGCAGACAAATGACACAAAGGAGGCAAAGGAGGCAAAGGAGCAAAATGAGACGAAGGAGGCAAAGCAGGCAAATGACAAATGAGACAAAGGAGGCAAAGGGGACAAATGAGACAAACGAGGCAAAGGAGACAAAGAAGACAAATGACACAATGGAGGCAAAAGGAGGCAAAGGACAAATTGAGACGAAGGAGGCAAAGGGGACAAATGAGACAAACGAGGCAAAGGAGGCAAAGGGGACAAATGAGACAAACGAGGAAAAGGAGACAAAGAACACAAATGACACAAAGGAGGCAAAGGAGGCAAAGGAGCAAAATGAAACGAAGGAGGCAAAGCAGGCAAAGGACAAATGAGACAAAGGAGGCAAAGGGGACAAATGAGACAAACGAGGCAAAGGAGACAAAGAAGACAAATGACACAAAGGAGGCAAAGGAGGCAAAGGAGCAAAATGAGACAAACGAGGCAAAGGAGACAAAGAAGATAAATGACACAAAGGAGGTAAAGGAGGCAAAGGAGGCAAAGGAGCAAACTGAGACGAAGGAGGCAAAGCAGGCAAAGGACAAATGAGACAAAGGAGGCAAAGGGGACAAATGAGACAAACGAGGCAAAGGAGACAAAAAAGTCCATGACACAATGGAGGCAAAGGAGGCAAAGGAGGCAAAGGAGCAAAATGAGACAAACGAGGCAAAGGAGACAAAGAAGACAAATGACACAATGGAGGCAAAGGAGGCAAAGGACAAATTGAGACGAAGGAGGCAAAGGGGACAAATGAGACAAACGAGGCAAAGGAGACAAAGGACAAATTGAGACGAAGGAGGCAAAGGGGACAAATGAGACAAACGAGGCAAAGGAGGCAAATCACACAAATGAAACAAAGGAGGAAAAGGGGACAAATGAGACAAACGAGGCAAAGGAGACAAAGCAGACAAATGACACAAAGGAGGCAAAGGAGGCAAAGGAGCAAAATGAGACGAAGGAGGCAAAGCAGGCAAAGGACAAATGAGACAAAGGAGGCAAAGGGGACAAATGAGACAAACGAGCAAAGAGACAAAAAAGACAAATGACACAAAGGAGGCAAAGCAAGCAAAGGACAAATGAGACAAAGGAGGCAAAGGAGACAAAGAAGACAAATGACACAAAGGAGGCAAAGGAGGCAAAGGAGCAAAATGAGACGAAGGAGGCAAAGCAGGCAAAGGACAAATGAGACAAAAGGAGGAAAGGGGACAAATGAACAAAAGCAAGACCCAGAAAAGAGACAAAAAAGACAAATGACACAAAGGCAAAGCAAGCAAGGACAAATGAGACAAGAGGCAAAGGAGACAAAGAAGACAAATGACACAAAGAAGGAGGCAAGGAGGCAAGGCAAATGAGGCAGAGGAGGCAAAGCAGGCAAAGGACAAATGAGACAAAGGAGGCAAAGGGGACAAATGAGACAAACGAGGCAAAGGAGACAAAAAAGACAAATGACACAAAGGAGGCAAAGCAAGCAAAGGACAAATGAGACAAAGGAGGCAAAGGAGACAAATAAGACAAATGACACAAAGGAGGCAAAGGAGGCAAAGGAGCAAAATGAGACGAAGGAGGCAAAGCAGGCAAAGGACAAATGAGACAAAGGAGGCAAAGGGGACAAATGAGACAAACGAGGCAAAGGAGACAAAGCAGACAAATGACACAAAGGAGGCAAAGGAGGCAAAGGAGCAAAATGAAACGAAGGAGGCAAAGCAGGCAAAGGACAAATGAGACAAAGG